GGCTCAGGCAATCCACTCACCTCAGCCTCCCAAAGGCACGGGATTACAGGCTGAGCCACCGAGCCCGGCTTCGTCTCCCTTTTACAGATCAAATACTTATTAGAAGAATACTTATTAGAAGAAGACTCAAACTGAAAACTGGCTTCCTTTTTGTCTCGAGTGTACATACAGAACAATTCTCTCCAAACCCTTGATTTTATTCCTCTTGCTCTCAATCGAAGAAAGGAGTTCTTGGATCTGTTAAGTATATTTCTCAGGACTCTAGGAAGTCAGGAGGAGATGGGAAAGGGAAGAAACGGGGAAAAGAAAGCTCTGTGTATGCTGTTTTTGCTTTTCCCGCTTTGCCCAGCAACACAGAATCAGCGGGCTTGCTTTTATTTTATTTTCTGCTTCATGCAGTGCTTTTTAAAACGAAGCCTTGAATCAACTATAATGGGATTTACCTAACGACTTCCTAGTAAATGCCTCTGGATCACAGCAAAGATCATTCACTAGGTAGGAATCTCAACCAGGTATTATTTTTTCCCGGGGGAATTTGGCAGTTTGGGGAGACATCATTCGTTGTTGCAACTGGGGTTGCTCTAGGGGCATCTGGTGAGCAGAGACCTGCAAGCCTGCTCACCTCTCAACGATGCACAGGACAGCCCACACAACAAAGGACTATCCGGCCCTAGATGTCAATGCAGCTGATGTTGAGAAATCCTGTTATAAATGAGGGCAGGGAGGCCTGGCAAATGTCTGTAGTGCATGTGGATTCATCCATTCATTCATTCATCAAATACTTACTGAGTGCTCACTGTCTTCAAGTTACCATTCTCCGCGGGGTCGGTGGCTCAGCCTAGAATCCCCGCACTTTGGGAGGCCAAGGTCGACGCTGGGGTGGCGGTGAGCATGCTGTTGCACTCTAGCCTGGGCGACGGAGTGAGACTCCAACTCGAAAAAAAACCATAATAATGGTGGCAAAACTGGTCTTGTCCACAGAAGGAAGATAGCAAATGTCAGGATATGACTCACAAGGATGGTCACGGAAGTATTGTTCGTAATAGTGGAAACAACCTAAATGTCAACATGGAAATGGTTGCATAATTATAAATCAATGTTACAATGGCATACTAAGCTGCCAATAAGAAAGAGATAAATCTCTTTAAGATAACATGGAAAATAATCACCAATATCTTATTAACTGGAAAGTTGTTGGGTTTTTTTCAGAATAGCAGGTACAGTGTGATTGATGCAACTCGTGTTTTTAAAAATTCGTGTACAAGTGTGTGCTTGCAACTGTATGTAATTGCTGAAGAAATTCTCGCCAAATTCTTCTCTCTTTTTTTTTGAGTTGGAGTCTTACTCTGTTGCTCAGGTTAGAGCGCAGTGGCATGATTGCAACGATCATGGCTCATGGCCACCTCAACCTCCTGGGCTCAGGTGATCCTTCCACCTCAGCATCCTGAGTAGCTGGGACTGCAGATATACTGCGCCATGCCTGGATAATTTGTTGTTGTTGTAGTTGTTGTGAGATGAGGTTTCATGATGTTACCCAGGCTGGTCTTGAACTCTTGGGATCAAGCAAATCACCTGATTTGGCCTCCCAAAGTGCTGGGATTAAAGGCATGAGCCACTGTGCCCAGCCCAAATTCTTAATAATGGCTA